TGAGCTGAATATTTAATAAGAGAAGGAAATTAGGAGCTGAACTGAACTGAACTGAACTGAATATTTAATAAGAGAAGGAAATTAGGAGCTGAACTGAACTGAACTGAGCTGAGCTGAACTGAACTGAACTTAACTGAATTTCAACGTAAGAGAACAGACCCTAAGTGAACTAAATATAGCCTAATTTGAACATTATTTTAATTATGGAATTCTAATCAAAAGTGGTTGTCAAAATGCCTTAAATCATTTTTCATTTTGTATCATTCATCCTCTCTACACACTCACAAAATTGAAATAAACGAAAATGACTTACTCCATATTATAAATGAGTTCAATGAGTAATTAATAAAGTGTGTTTTCTCTTTGTTTGGATTTCAATGTCTAAATGTACGTATTGATCATTGTCACCTCAACTTAACTTATTTATAATGACAGTGAAGTGAATTGAGCGAATTTGATTACCATGAATTCGACTTCAGCATTCATCATTTGTCACGAAGTTAATAATTTATTTGAATTCAAGTGAAACTTGACCAATACCAATACGGTCAATACATATTCGTAATTTAGTTTAACTAGTTTGAAGCTATATTTTGAATTTTTAGTAAGATTAAAATAATAAAATTAATTATTTGAAGGTATAGACCATATTTGTAATTTTTTTAAACAATTTACAAATAACTTAAATCATGTGAATTTATGTTAATTTAAGCGATACCATCTTACAAAATGTTGATCAATAGTAAATCATACATAAGAAAATCTTTGTAATACATTCTTGTAATTTAGTTTAACGGACTTAAAAGTACTACCTCCGCTACATATTATTTGCAACGATTTGACATAAAGTAGAGAGGAAAAATGTCTAGTCGTTGCAAATAATATGTGATGGAGATAGTATATTTGAATGCTTGCGAAAATGAATAATAAAGTACTTTACATGTATAAATTATTTTTATTTTATCGATCCTAGAGATCAATCTAGCACTCTAACCTCATCAAGTGTGCAAGTCACAACATTAGTAACATGTATTACATACGTATGCAACAATGACAATTGAAAAACCTTAGGTGGTCCATACTCCATATGTAAGTATGTAACAAATCATTAAGTCATCGTACGTATATAAAATCTGATGATTAGTCTTACATGCGTAGTCGGTAATTAATATAGTTGATTCGATTTTTATGGACAAAATTAGCAACATTACTAATCAACCATGACGAACTTAAGCTAAGAAAGATTCGCAAATATAGCAAAACTACGTTTAATTAGTCAAATCATAGCATGTAATCACCTACTTATTCGTGGAACGACGTGCTAATAAACAAGGATTAATTAATAACTAATCAAATCCAACTTGTACTTAAAAAAGAAGCTATAATAAGAAAGGCGAATCATGAAGTTCACTTTGTCTCCTCATTATGTTAAAAGATTAATGAAAATTTCATGACCCCACCAAAATTCTTATCTTCACAAATACTAAACACCCCCTTTTTTTTGTCGATCCATGCATATATATATAGAAAGCATATGTTATAAATTTTAATTATTTATGTATGCATCAATGCATGCATGCTTGATTAAATTTTAATGACAATTAATTAACGGTTGTCCTACAATTAACGGTCGCTTTTAACTAAGGAAAATGTAGGGCTTCCTATTAGGGGTATGCTACAAAATTTCACATGGTAATTGTAGTGGTTAGAGTGTGATATTTGATCTTTAGATTAATTTTAATGACATAATTAATGCTAAGCTAGTTAAATCATGCCCTTTTGGGTATGGATCAGCTACGCAAGTTCAATTTGAACAGGAGAGTTGAAGACAGTAGGATCCCTCTGTATCGAGTTGGACTAGGTTATATAATACTACGTATAACATCTTATCGCTAGAGACTAATATGCGATATGATCTATAAGTGTATAACACATGACGTTTCCTTGGTTTCTAATTGATAGTCATGTTTGAAATCTTTATAGCTTGATAAATCACATTTATATTAGATTTTTAGGTGTATTCAAGTTATTTTTTTTAGTCTTATTTGCATATTTAATCTCTATAAAGCTCATGATTTCATGAAGTCTATGGAGTGTCTAGTCTAATTCACCATACTTTCATTTATCTTATAAAATTCTAGAGTTATATGAAACTAAGCTACAAGCTTTTATTTTATCATATTTGGACTTATTGGTTCATAAATATTGCCCTCATTCTATCTTATTTAAAGCTATTAATCCTAATTTTATATTTCGAACCTCGTTAACCTAATCTTAACTTAACCTAACCTGAAGGTAACTAACTCTTAATCCTAAACACATCATTCTCCTCCCATCGATATGGAATACATTCCACAAAAATATATTTATTAAATACTCCATATTTATTTAATCTCATCTCTAATAGGGTTTTGAGCGAGAACTAAGGGCATGTTCTCTTACGTTGAAATTCAGTTCAGTTCAGTTCAGCTTAGCTCAGTTCAGCTCAGCTCCTAATTTCCTTCTCTTGTAAAATATTCAGTTCAGTTCAGTTCAGCTCAGCTCAGTTCAGTTCAGTTCAGTTCAACTGAATTCAGTCAATGATAACAGGCCCTAAGAAAGCAAATTGATACTAGTTACGGAAAAAAAAATGAAAAACAAAAAGGTTACCACGTCACGAAAGACTAAAATCGTACTGAGATCTCTATCTCTTCATTCCTAGCGATTGATGTGGGTCACCTTCCCCAACATCTATATTCTTACGCCTTTGTTTTTGTACGTTTGTGCAACTATATTCTGAATTTCTTTGTGCTCATCATCTCACTCATTTTTATCATTTCTAAAATATGATTTCATTATTTTTAAAAAGCTCTACACATAAATTATTTACAAAATAAAAAAATAACTCTATTAAAAAGATTGTAACTATTTATATGAGTTGGATTAAATTCCAAATTTGTAGGAACAAATTGGGTTAGGTCAATAGGTCAACATGGAATTAAATAGATATACATCAACGCTTGCAAAATTAACTTTATTGTTCAAAATGCAAATCTTCAAGACTTCAAGTCTTCTCTCTCTCAAAAAAAAAAAAAGAAAAGACTTCAAGTATTCCAACATTTGCGGTTCAAATAGATATATGCACAAACGTAACTCTTTTATTTAACCAAAACTTATCTTTATTGATTTACCCTTAGATTTAAGGATTGTTTTTAAAACATTGACTTATCTCCTAAGTCCTAATTAAACTATGTACCATAAGTTTATGATGAATTTCCTTTGCTCTTGTAAAACTATGTACCCTTGTTGATGTTTGCTATCGGTTAGGGATTTCAGCTAGAAAGGAGGTAGACATTGGGTTATCTGGAGGGAACGACGGGGATTTCATTGAATATCATCCTCGCTTCTATTCCCGTTTTCATATAAATGTCTTATTTCATTTGAAGATCCAAAAATGGAAGTGGAGCATTATAATCATATCTATCAATACTATACATTAAAGGCATTTCAAAGGATGTTTATGTGCCACATGTCACTCTCCTATATTGGTTTCATAATGCATGCGCCACGTGTTGCTCTCTTCTATTTGTTTCTTATTACATGCATGTCATTGCTGGAACTAAAAATACTAGTTAAACCTATAGAAAGTACGCGTAATAAGAATAATATGAAAAGAACAATATCAATTAAACCTGGAAAACGGGTCGTTCGGGTCGGGTCAATCAATATACGGGTTGGGTCAGGTCAATTCGGGTTTCAAATCCAGATTCGGGTCGATGGTAATTCGGGTCGGGTATCGGGTCAACACTTCGGGTGAAGTTCGGTTCGGGTTGAGCCATTTAGGGTAAGGTCAATTCAGGTCGGGTCAGTTTTCGGGTCCAACTGTCGGGTCAAATATCGATCGGATTGAGTTTGGGTTGGTCAATTATGGTTGGGTCAATATTCGTCTAGGTCAATCTAAAAATCTGACCAATAATATAGTATAATTATCGATAAGTATAAAGTATAACAATTGAATATTAATAATATATTAATCAGACAATTCCAACAATATTATATACACAAGATAGTATTGTTTCATATGTATGATCACAATCATTGATTAATTGGTCAAAAATCAAATTAGATAAAGTGAATAGTGGAAAAAAATTCAACGTAACACTTAAAAGAAGTTAAAAGTAATAGTAATAATAACAATAACAAGCTAAGACCCTGTTCTTTTGAGCTTCTGGGTAGAGCAGAACAGAGCAAAGCAGATTTCAGCAGAGCAAAGCAGATTGAAGTAGAGCAGGGCAGAACAGAGCAGAGTAGGGCAGAGCAGAGCAGATTGAAGCAGCTATTTTTAAGTACTATTTTTAAGCAGAGCAGAGCAGAGCAAGGCAGAGTAGAGCAGAGCAGATTGAAGCAGAGCAGAGCAGAGTAAAGCAGATTTCATTTGAGTAGAGTAGAGCAAAGCAGCTCTAAAGAACGGGGCCTAAGTGTTCCTAATTAAGTGGAACTCATTATGAATTACGAGTACTAAATTATACTCACATTCCAAGTACTATACACATTACACACAAGACTATAATGTTTAATTTAGGTTATTTTCAATAAGTGTTTATTAGTAATTAGGCCCTAAATCACTTAGATCATTTTGAGTATTTGTTAATTTTAAGCCGGGTCATTTCGGGTATAGTTCGGGTCGCTTCGGGTATCGGGTCGAGTCACTTCGAGTTTCGGGTCACTTCGGGTCAAGTCAACTTTGAATCGGGTCAATTCAGGTATCAGGTCAACTTCAGGTCGGGTTAATACGGGTATTGGGTTAAGTTCCGGTTAACTCCACATCAGGTTGGGTATGGGTTGGGTTGGGTCAATTTTGTGTCAGTGTCAATTTAGAATTTATGTTTTCGGGTCAATTTCGGATCACAGGTCGGGTCAGAATTGTCAAGTCTAATTTTTATACAAGGTAGAGAGGGGCATTTAAGTAGTTATGTGAGAAACCAAGGGTATTATGGTTAGAAGGTAATATTATAATCCACACAGGTGCTATTCTTACTCATAGCACTCTGCAATTGCTGTCCCTCATCACCTCTCTCTTTTCCTCTGCTTCTCTCTCTTTCTCTCTCTCTTAAAACAACATATTCTTCTCTTCAACTAACCAAGGTATGTCTTAGAAACATCTGATTATACAATTTTATTCTAAAAATGATGTATTCTTCAAAATTCTGGGTTTCTTTTCAATTATTTTCTTACTTCCTTTGAGCTGATGTTTCATGCTTTGCAATATTTTGACTGATAAAAAAGTATTAATTTTTTTGTTGTTGTGTAACATACTGTTAAAAGTACAAAAATTTAAGTCCTGGTTTCAATGTTATTATCACACTCATCTTACTGTACTTGAATTATTTTATGTTAATATACGAGATTGATCAATCTCACACACACGAAATAATAAAACCCGCTAAAAGGGTTGCTGTTAGATCCTGGGTTTATGTATTTGTATATGTTTATGTTTTTTGTTCATATACTAAACTTTCTGCTTGAACATTTGTTTTTGAAGCTTACAACATCATGACATAATCATCACCACCTTAGATCCTGATTCCTGGAATGTCAGTTTTTCTGTAGTATCAATGGTTGCAAAATTCTATGTACATTGACAAGAATTTGGTAATTTTTGTTTCTAGAATCCAGATAATTAAAGGGTATATAAAGAAGCTAATGAAGTAGAAATGTTGATTTTGATATTCTGATTCCTTCATAATTATGTAGAATTTCCACTTTTTGTACAAGAAATGGTTGATTTTGTAGGTTCTTTAATTGGTGGATTCTCTTAGCCCCTTTAAAGATAAAGTTCAATGAAAAGAAATTAAAAACCAGGAAAAAAAAAAATTCCTTTGGTTCAAGTATTTCTAAGGTATTTTTGACAACATACAACAATACTAAAGCCTTATTCCTACAAGAATAGGTCAGCTTCTAGGTCAATTTTAAGTGTAACGAAAGTTTAGTCCGATTATTCTCTTGCTCGAGTGGACAAATCGATCACTTTCGATCATCGTAAGAATTGGACAAGGAGAGAATTTGGAAAGATTTTGATGAGATATAACCTGGCATCTCATAAGTAAATGGTTGGTAATAGCTAAATTTAGGTGCCATTTTTTTCTAATTTTTTTTTGGATTTTTCAAGAATTTTTGTTCTAGAATGGAGAGTCCGAATTGTGCGTGTAAGATTGGTTGTTTAGTCATAGTAATACATGTTGTCTATCAACTTGACTTCAATGGAAAGAGAATACAGGACAAGCACATTTGAGGTTTAAGTCAAATTGACAGGTTTGTGAATAATGTTGGTCTATAGACTTTGTAATTGTATACTTTTTCTTAAAATTGTTACTTTTTGATACTTTGCTTTCTAGTCTTCCTTTGATTGAGTACCTATTCTAGACATAACTTACTTGCAAGTTACTGTTTTTTTCTTCTAATTACCCCGTATCTATCAAATATCGGTATGATGCTTCTAAGTAGTTAGAGTGTTGGACACATGGAATCTGATTCCTCTTGTCCCAGATCAAATTCGTCTGTCCGACAAATGGAACATTAACAATATGAAAGACCACAGATTGGTATTGGGTAGGTGGGCAAGAGGGGGTGGACCGGTGGAGGTAGGGGTTGTCTGTTCGAATTGACTAATTAGTGTTCTGATTTGGACATGTTCTGCACTTCATGGTTTTGCATTGCTTTCTTCGTGTTCTATATGCTATCTTACAGATGTATTACCTTTCATATGTTATATTTCCTTAGGTCAATGTACAATATTTTCCACTCTGGAGTCTGGATGGATAATTAAAAATGTGTATTTCTGTTCTCTGCAGGTTTCGATTACTTTCACAAAGATTCATGAGTTTGAGTAGCTTGAAAGCGAGAGGGACATTGGCTGGATCAACCTGTTGACATCCAGCAGGATGAGCGCGTGAGTTTCTGAAATAAGATTTGTTGGGGAGAAATTTTGGTAAATTTTGTTTTTCTCACAAGAACGAGCAGTACATTTGTCTGGCAGTATTAAGCTCATCGATGTCGAACAGTTTGTATTATCAGCCTAAGAGAGAAGTTGATACACATTTCATGCTTCAGTGTCAGCCTTTGAATCCTCAACTTTATTCTAACCTCAACACTGAAAGTTATGCAACCTCAAAAACTTCCCCAGGTCAGTACAACACTTTGGAATCATCCTCTGGAATCGGCAGCTATATGATGCTTAGCTCCGCGTCTACTCTTACCTTTGCATCCAGTGGAAGCCCTGGATCACTACTCGATTCCAGTTCATACCCGCCAGATCAACACTGCTCTCCTGATTACGCCAATAACTCACCTGTGACTCCTGTGAGTAACTCATGTGTTACAGATGATTGCAGTGACTTGAAGTGGAAGCTGAGGGAGTTGGAAAACGTGATGCTGGGACCTGATACTACTGATATTACAGATGGTTATAGCAACATGATCAAGAGCGGGTCCCATGTAACCCCACTGGAGATGGACAGCTGGGGTAAAGTGATTGAGATGCTCGCTTGCAAAGATGTGAAACAGGTTCTTGTTGCCTGTGCAAGAGCAGTTGTCGAGAATGATCAGTTGGTCGCCCAATGGCTGATGGATGAGCTGAGACAGATGGTATCAGTCTCTGGTAGTCCAATTCAAAGATTAGGAGCATACATGTTGGAAGGGCTGGTGGCGAGGCAGGCCTCCTCAGGTAGCTCCATTTACAAAGCATTGAAGAGCAAAGAGCCTGCGAGTGCAGATCTTTTATCTTACTTGCATATACTTTTTGAGGTCTGTCCATACATCAAGTTTGGCTACATGTCCGCAAATGGTGCCATTGCTGAAGCTATGAAAAATGAAAGGAGAGTCCATATCATCGATTTCCAAATAGGTCAAGGGACCCAGTGGGTGACTCTTCTGCAAGCATTTGCAGCCCGGCCTGGTGGAGCCCCCCATATCCGGGTAACTGGAATTGATGACTCATATTCAGCATATGCTCGTGGAGGGGGGTTGAATATAGTTGGCCAGAGGCTTTCAAGGTTAGCTCAGGCATTCAAGGTTCCGTTTGAGTTCCATGCTGTTGATATCTCAGGTTGTCGGGTTCAGTTGAAAGATCTTGGAATTCAGCGTGGTGAGGCTTTGGCAGTGAATTTTGCTTTCATGCTGCATCATATGCCTGACGAAAGTGTAAGCACTGAGAATCACAGGGATCGGTTACTTAGGCTGGTTAAAGGCTTGAACCCAAAAGTGGTGACACTTGTGGAGCAAGAATGTAACACAAATACAGCTGCTTTCTTGCCACGTTTTCTTGAGACATTGGACTATTATATGGCAATGTTCGAGTCCATGGATGTGACTCTGCCAAGGGTTCATAAAGATCGAATTAATGTTGAGCAACACTGTTTAGCTAGGGATGTGGTTAATTTGATAGCTTGTGAGGGAGCCGAGAGGGTGGAGCGCCATGAACTACTTGGAAAGTGGAGATCGCGCTTCACAATGGCAGGGTTTAAGCCTTACCCTTTGAGCGTTTTGGTAAATAGCACAATAAAGACACTGCTGAGGAATTATTGTGATAGATATAGATTAGAAGAAAGGGATGGAGCTCTTTATCTTGGGTGGATGAATAGGGATTTGGTTGCTTCTTGTGCATGGCAATGTAGTTAGTTGCCTATTGATTTCTTTGCATAGTATCCGAAGCCGAGAAATCACGTCGTAACTTGTACTCTTATGCATTTTCTTAATTAGTTTCTACTGCTTATTGAAGTTGCAGGTTTGCAACAGCAGCCCTTAAGCTCCCCTTTGTTTCGAGGAGGCAACTCCCCTTTATGTTATTTTGCTTGAATGAAAGAGCAAGGAAAAAAAAATCTTTTCCATCTCAACGTTTCAGCCTCAAATTCAGCACTCCAATCTAATAGAGTGAACTCTGAAGTCCCTTCCTAATTACGCGAAATCATTGCTTATTCCATTACGATCATGCCATTCCGAGGGATGATAAGAACATCTCGGACCGAGGATTTCTTGAGAGTACCTTGGTCATTTTAGGGAAACTTCAAAGAATATTTCAAAAAACATGGAAAGATAGAAGTATTGTTGGAAAATTTGAGGATGGGACATTAGAGGAACCGAAAAATAATACTCGTATCGCATCAATTGTTTACCATGTTCAATCCAAGCTTATAAAAACAACCCAAAAATTATTGAATTGGTCCTTAATCTGGAAATCCAAAGCAATGGTCTTTCCCATAATCAAACTATAGAGAACTTACAGATTCGTCCATTTGGTACATATCCACAGGAAATACACTAAATACAATCAAATAGCACTTCCAACTATGAGACACTTTTGAAGGGAAATCTATGATATTTTTATTCTCAATAATTAAATTAGACTCCTCAGGCTATGGCTGCCCCCCTTTGTCTAATTAGATTTATTTACAACGTTTAAAACACCTCCAGAATACTCCCTCCACTTACAGCGTTTTCTATGTCAATGAATGCCATTGTCTACAACAATCCTCTATCAGCTATGACTTCAATCAGCAACAACAACGTATTCAGCAGTTGACAGCTTCTGCATTAGGCCTTTGTAGTCCGTTTGACTTTGCTTCAGCACGAGAGCTTTCAACTATTGCATCAGGTCTTTTTGCCTCAGTTGATGCAATTTCTTCCTTCTTATCAACGATTGTATCAGGTTTCGTGGCCTCAGTTGATACAACTTCCATATTAACTATTGTATCAGGTTTTTTTGCCTCAGTTGATACAACTTCTGGTTTCATATCAATAGTTGTATCAGTCTTTTTTGCCTCAGTTGATACAATTTCTGGTTTCATATCAGCGATTGTATCAGGTATTGTTGCCTCAGATGATACAGCTTCTGGCTTCGTATCAACATGAATTGAAGCAACTTTCTCTTGTTTGATCATCTGATCTTTACTATCAGTCTGATCAACTTCCTCCTTAGCAATTTGAGACTTATGTTCAGATCTCTCAGCTTTATGATTGGCTTCTTGCTCAGTGGATCCAGTAATAGCATCCTCAGTCCTCACCACAATTGCTAAATTGTTTTCTTTTTCATTGGTAATAGGATCAACAGAATCACCTTTTTTGGGTTTACCTGTAATTGCAACATCTTGAACTGCATCCCCTTCTTCTGACTTGGATTTACTCATGCCATTTGACTCTGTGTCACCCACAGAAGCTCCGGCAGTCTGGGGAAGAATAGTCCTTATAGGAGGCATACTATGATCATGTTCACCCTCGTACGTGGTGATCACTACTTTAGGGTCATGCGAGGCCCTTTCAACGTGCTTCTTAACTGGGCAACCCGTAGTTGAGCACCGGTAGTAACTCCTAAATCATAACAGTCCAGAAAAATGTAAAAGAGATTAAATCCAAAACACTACAAATACTCCGTATGAAAGAGGTGGTGAGGATGAAAAAGAAAAGGCACTACATAATTATTTACATGAGAATCCCCAAATTGACCCTTGTCAATTAAACAGTAGCTAAAGAGCAATACTAAAATTAAATGTGTTGCAACCAAAAGCAGGACAAGAAATTACTAGAATGAAAATTCGGCAAAAATTTGACGATAATTCATAATAAATTTGCCAATCCCACTTATGGGATTAAGGCTTTGATTGATTGATTTATAACTAAACTAAATTATATGAAATTATAACCCATTTCCAAGTATTATGATTAAAAAAAATAAAATTATCATGGCTATATTTGACAAAGAATACAATAATTTACAGATTTGATATTTTGAAAGGACAAGAAGTGAGAAGTTTCTCATCTTTTGCCTATGGATTGCAGCACACTAAAATAAACTGTTGTGAGTTAATTGGCCAATTAATTGAATCCAGATACAAGGAATCTACCAGATGAACTCTTTGCCATTGTATGGGTGGATGTAAGACTAAGAGCCTCCTTGCAATTGTACAAATATAGCTGTACACATCAAACTTAACCCATCCAAATTAGAGCCTAGTAGGAGGCAATAGGTAATTCTCTATATACTCTATTTATGCTACATACTACCACAAGGGCTAAGCAGAGGAAAGTGTCACAAAATTTACAGTAGGAAGAAACCGAAGTGACATAAGCAGATGGTAGAGCATTATTTACAAGAAATTGTACTGCAAACAAAGAAAAAAAAGAGGGGGGGAGGGGATATGTAGACAAGAAAAAAGGGTCAGATCAATAATTTGGGAAACAATATAAAAGGGATCTAGAGTTCCAAACAGCCCATGATGTTCCTAATTGCAACAGGATTCTTCAGAGCTAAGACTAAATGAGGAGCATAAAAAAAACCGAGTAAGCTAGCTAGCTAGCTTATCAAAGTTGGATGCTTTCTATTTAAGATTAAACTGACCGTTTTATAAATATAAAGTACATATGATGCCTATGTATATTTTAATGAGATATGTCAGTTTTTCTAAGATCTTCAGGACAGCAAACTTAAAAGTTACTACCTAGAGCGCCAAGTATTGAAAAATAGTCCTAATATTTCCCTTCTTAGTATCTTCACGACTCTTTTAAGAACAAAAGCATAGTAAAAGACAAGAAAATATTAAAGCCATATGTAATAAGGCAATGAAAACACTAGGACCTACACGGTTGTGATATTGTACAGTTAAATGCAGTAGAGCTCATAACACTATAGTACAAGATCATTCAATCAATCAATCAAAGCCTTAATCCCATAAGTGGGGTCGTCTATAGTACAAGATCATTGATCAGAAAAAATGCATATCATTTAATTAATTTCATTTCACGATCTTACTGCAATTAAGCATAAGAAAAAATAGATAAGCAGATCAATTTCATTGTTAAACTGACTGGACTATCTATCACCGTAATAAAAAAGAAGCAGGAACTCTAATTTAGGTGACAATAGTGATTATCAGTTCTTGATTTCTCATGTTTGTGTCTATTCTAAGACTCACATGGATCATGTAACTGTAAAGAGTATACAGTGTATACCTTGGATTAGGGTTTCCCTTGACCATTTTCTGTCCATACTTCCGCCACCTGAACCCATCATTGACGATATCAACCTCACTAACTGTGTGAACGACAATCCTTGATTCATGGCTGGGTTTCTCTGCTGAGTTATCAACACCATCAATGCCTCTCTTCCTGTTTTGGTTCATGATTTTCATAGCATAAATTGCAGATGAGTAAGAACTAACACAATATTACCAACAAAAGCAAGCATAAGGATGAACCAGATGTTCCAACATACCGTCTCTTCAGGGTAAAGTTTTCACTATGATCATCCCTTGATTGACTTGATGGTGTGAGAGGTATAGGTGTAGCATCATCAGCCACCTTAACTATAGCATGCTCAAATAAATCCACTTTCTGAAAATGACCAGTTGCACGGGCTTGCACATCTGATGGTTTATCTTCAGATTGGAGAATATGAAGAGGTAATTAAAAAAAGTTCACCAATTCTTAAGCTTAAGAAATCAAATATTATATCCTCTTTACCTTCAACAGCAGCTGGTGGACAATCTGGTATCTGTACTTTAACGGACAGAAGAGAGGGAACAGGAACTTGGGGATCAGAATGAGGTTTAGCATGTTCATGCTCTCCCAGGTAATTAATATCTGTGATCCGCCCATCCTGGGATCGCTCCACTTGTTTCTTCACCTGGCAGTTTGGATGTGAACATTTGTAATAGCTTCTTATATATTCATTTCCTTTGACATTTTTCTGCCCATATTTTCTCCAATTATATCCATCTTCAGATGGTTTTTCAGGGACAATAGCTTCCCGATCAGTACTGGAAGCATTTATTGTAGAATCAGGGCTCAATCCCTGCTCCAATTTATCTTTAGGAGATACAAGCACAACGTTTTCCTCTTGTGTAACCATTGGGAGAATTTTAAAGAAGCAAGTTTGGCAAGTTGATCTTAAGGCATTCCAAACCAAGGATTTATGCTGATTGTCAACAAACTAAATTGACCACTGAGATGGTTATCTTCTTGGACACTTACAAGCTGCACCAATTTACAATCATATTTCAGATTATAGTCTCAAAAACTCAAGAATCTCTCAAAAACTCAAGAATCCTATACCAATATTATTCAGAAATTCAAAAATAATACATTTCTCAAAAAAGCTACTATATCAGAAATCCTGAATGTGGTGTGACAACACAAAGTATGTTGGAAACCAAGACTCAAATGATGAAAATTTTCCAATTTAGCTGGCACACAATTGAAGTTGTTATCTACCCAGCAAAAGCTAGTGTTTCTAACATCCCAGCAAAGTCTAGAAAAGTGCAAGCATCCTAAACTACATTTTGCTGAAATTTAGCCAGGCAATTTTGCAATCTTTCCCTAAGAAAAAGGTTATGTACTGAAGCAATTGATTATTTCACACAACCCTTGTTTCAATCCTTATTGTCAAAAATCGATTGTACACCTCTATCCATTATAGTACTGGCTTCCAAGCATGTAATTCATTACAGCCTAAACCCTGAACCACCTCGAAACAACCTTTTATAAAATCACAAGCCCCAAACATCTCGAAATCGCATTTAGTAACCCTTGTTGCTAATGTTGTATCCATTCAAAGAATCACATCTAAACTCCAAAGTCAAACAAAGAATACGCTCAGTTTTTGAGCAAATTCCTCTTCAAAAAATCACAAAAGTCACCTACCCAGAGATTTATTTCTTTTCTCAAGTAAAATCCCAGTTCATCCCATACATAGAATCAAAACCCACCATTTATCAAATCCTAATTCTCCCAATTAAGGCATAAGTAATGAACATTTTTTTCAATAGTTGGGGAAAAGGGGCAAATTCTTACAAAGTCTCACACTTCATAAGCTGAATCATACAAAATTAAAATATAATTTTAACATTCATCAAAATAATAACAATCACTCCAATCTATAATTTGCCTTCCAAAATACATTAAACAATTAGCACCAAAAATTAATAGGGATTCCCAATTATTACAAAGAATTCATTTTTATATATAGATATGAAAACCCTTTTCTCACATAAACCCAATTTCATTGAAAAAAACAACAAAAAATTACTAAATTAAGAAATAATATAAATTAAATTAGCACAAATTCCAAAAGCATTAAACCCAAAACAATTAGTAAAATTAAAACTTACCCAAAACAAGAAGAATAAGCTGATGAAGAATTAATAAAAAAATTACGATTTATATGAGAAAAAATCGAAGAAAAATTCTGGGTTTTTTTGGGGAAAAAGAAGAAGAAGAAGAGGGGGTCAAAGTTGAGGCAAAACCCTCGAGAGAAGTGTGATGATCAGAGGAGAGAGAAAATTGGTTTTTTCTACAATCAGGTGGATTCTATTTTTTTTAATTTTATTTTTTTATTGGGATCGGTGACAGATGTCAGGTTTGTTTGCCGTTTGATTATGAGTTGTCAAGTCAAAGGAGAAATATGAACCGTTAGATTTGATTAGAGGAGAGAGAAAAATGAAAATTGCCCACCATTTTTTTAGCTTTGCTTTTGAGTGTGTCAGCAACTGCGGCTGACCTGACCTTAGTGGTTGTTAGTGCATAACTCTTAACTTTTCACCTTTTTTTACCAAAAAAAAATTAAAAAAAAATTTAACCAAAATTTTTTATAAATACAATAGAGGAATTTTTAAAGAAAAGTAGATATATTCTCTAATTATCAGTTTATCACTATATATTCGATTATTCCCCTCTTACAAACAGGGTTCTGTGACTTTTGTTCCTATTATCATAAATAAAGGTTTCACCCCAACAAAATTACAACTTGTATTAATCTCAACAAAAAAAAAAACTTTTATTTTTAAATTACTTTGTAAATAATAATAATAATAATAATAATAATAATATAATTTGAGACAAATGATAAAGGAAATTGTTTAAACTACTAATGTTATGCTCGGTTCTTTTGAGAGCTCTGCTTTGTTTTGCTCAGTTGAAATCTAATCTATTCTACTTGTCCAAAAGCTCAAAAGAAAAGGGCCGAAGTTTCCTGTGAAATGTCTTACTATATAAAGGTATTGCCCCATAACTTCAATATAGTTAGTTAATCAATATATATACATGCATATAACCTCATTAAAAAAGTAATTAGACAATAGAACTCTAATATTTAAAGAAAAAAAATAATAAATTATGTCAAAATATGACATAAAATTTAGAAATAGGAATCTTAAATTTTTATATACGTATTTTTTTTTATTGAGTTCCATGCACTTGCATCATCTTTTAAGCTCTATATAAAAAAATAGTGTTGTTTTATACTGTCCTTAATTGTATGTCTCCTAATTGCTTATTCTTTGTCATCTATCTATACTATATACTAAACGTGAAATCAGAAATGACACATATCTTATACTCGTTAAAAAGTAATAGTTATTGAAAATTACCGGGACCTAATCAAGTTCGACTCTATTCGCATGCAAGTCCCAAGTCCGAATCCACCACAATCTAGAGTGAAGACAAACGGCAATGGTGACCGGCAACAACAGCCGGCAGTGGTCAACGACTCGACGTGGATGAGTTGAATGGTCACAATGACAATCACTAAGTTACAAAGCCACGATTGAAACCAAACAATGTTTGCCAAAACAATTTGCTTAGTCAACTACTTTCAATGCTTCTCATTTCTGACCTCGCTCTTTGCTTAAATAGCCCAACAGTAACACTAATCTTGTACTCCTGACAAAGTCCACATTATGTGGCCAAGTCTAGTTTTAATACCATGCTGCCTAACTGGACCCTAATTTCGTAATAAAAAGTACAAGTAATTCGTAATTAAAAAACTTAGGGGGTTTTTATTATTAAAAAAACAAAAAAAAAAAAAAAAAATACTTATGGGGTTTTTATTATTAAAAAAAAAAATTAAACAAAAAATATCTTTGGGTTTTTCATTCGTCTCACCAATTTTCTTTTCTGTCTTTGTTTGTTTAGTTTAGTAAATAGAAAGATTCCTGTATAGCCTTTCTTGACCTAAGGTCCAACAATCAATATTGCAACTATACAAGTAGGCTAAGATTAGATTGCCTAAATTGATCTAACGTTGTAGAGTATAGCATGTCTAAAGTCACAAATGTAGCAACTAGCAAGTGATCAAGCCGAGGGAGTGGTGATTGTGCATTTGGAGATCGTGATCTTGTGTGATCATACATGTTAAGGAGGGTAGTCAAAATTTAGCGAAGCCATTAACCCTTAAAGAGATTTGGGATAGCAAATATATACAATCTTGGGTCGTTATTAGAGTTTGGTTGGGTTAATTATGTTAATATTGTATTTATGTTAAGTTTATCTTGTTAGGAGTTTTAGGCAAGTTAGGTTTCCGTTTGTATTGTGTATATATACGTGAGTATTACCAATGCAAAGGCCAAGCCGTTTTCTCCACAATATTCTTGAGTTTAACAGTCGTCGTCTAATTGTGGTTTATTGGTTGTGCTTGAACACAATCCAACTCCCAAGTGTAGATCAGTAATAGACTGGTGTGCTTGATGGCATGGGTGTATGTAAGCCTTTAGAGGTGACGTTATTGTATGGTATGGTACGATGTTTTCGAAATTAGATGATTGCGTGGAGCCTACTTGATGTACACACAAGATACCTACGTGGTAGAAACGTTTCTTTGAACATGCCTATAGTATGAAGTGGAACATATTGATGACTTGGTGTGGCTCAAACACACTATGCAATACATAGATGAAAGGTCGGAGAGATTATTGAGAGATTTTTTTAAGTCAATGTGAATAACAATTGTGTTGCGTCACATTAAAGAGCGAGTGGTAAATGCATGTTAATTAGACAACAATTATCAAGCTAAGGATAATATATAAGGACTTTTAATATTATATATATATATATATATATATATATATATAGATATTTTATACTCCGTAGTAGTTAAAATATCCCTTGCTTCCAAGGTGTCATTTAAGGTTTTGCCACCATATATTTAGACGATGATAAACACATTAATTTTTTTTAAATTTTTTTTTGTGTAATATTCTCAATCTTTTCCTTGATGGATGAAAACATCAAATTTAATACAAATCAAGTAAAATTAATTGTATATTTTGTAAAAGGCCAATTAATCTAAAAATTCATGCATTGTTCATTATCAATAGCTAGTTACTTATAGGTAGTACAATACACCCTTCGTTCTTATAATCTTATAATGTGATGATGCATATGTTGCTAAGCTAAACTCTTATTTCAAATGAGTTTGCCTAGTTGCAAGAATTGAAGACAATGATGATACTATATATAGTAATTTATACTTGAGATTTGAAGGGTTGTTGAATTTAAGTTAAGAAAGAGTTGGTTGGAAGAATTAAAACTTGAGATATGATGAAATTCAAAGTACGTTAATAATAATGGATATGTCATAAAAATGGTTGTTTGTGATTCAATGTTAGCAAACCTTAAAAAGTGGCAGATTTTTTATGCATTTATTATTATTATTATTATTATTATTATTATTATTATATATATTTTGCTGTTTTTTTTTTGGGTCCAATTCATAAAATTGGATATTAAGGGTTTTCCGGTATTTGTATTGTGGGGATGTAAACGGTAATATGGTATATAATAAAAAAAAACCGGTTATTTATTATTTCTTGTATTATTTTTCTTTTTTATATTAATAAAATAATAAATTTATAATATACACAAATCGACTTAACTTAACAACTAAACCTTTCCATGTCTCTAAGAGAACCATGCAAATTTTGTGCCATATATATATAAAAAAATTGCACCTTTTTTTTTGTCCAATTATATATATATATATATAATAAATTTGGTCGTTTAAAAATTTTATAATTTATATGCAACCGAGTGTAAGATTTTATAATTTTCTTGAATTTGGAAATATGATAAACCATTTTTTCCTTCTCATCCAATCTTGTAGAACAAACGTTCTTAAAACATTTATTTGTTTCTATCACATCCCTTGATCACCCAACATGGAGTTATAGATGTGCCATCTCCTTAATTAGTTAGTCTCTAAATACATTTCTATTTTTAGTCGATCATACCATTGATTTCATTGTACATCTTTTAAGCATGCAAAATAACTCTTTGCATGTATATGAAGCATGCAAAATAAAGACCGAAGATCTTATGACGTATTGACATATGCGCATGCAATGCTAGCCCCCCTTTTTTCTTTGGAGAGTACAAGTAGTAAACCATGCTAATATAATTAATGAAAAGTAACGTACGTGGTATCATATTTAATTAATACGAAGTAGTTGTATATATAAATGAGTTCATCAAATTAAACCATGACTTCTTGTGAAGTGAGCGAGGTGGCTGAGGACGACGATACTTGAGAGCTGTCGATCGAATTCTATAGCTTACACCGTATATACAACCACGGTACACTTGGTGTCGATTGCCACGGTGCAAATTCAACAATGGATAATGAAATTCACTTCTACAAAATTATGATTTCTCCTTCTACTCAAACAAACAAACTAGTAAGTTTTTTCATGCATTTTTCTTAATCATATATATATATATATATATATATATATATATATATATATATATATAATTGCACCCTATAATTTTATTTTATTTATTTATTTATTTATTTATTCTTGTTTGATGGACAGAGAATACCGGAAGAATATGTGAATAAAAATGGACAACGATTTGCGTATGATTATGTGAGGCTAAGAGTTGGCAAAGATGGTAGGGTTTGGAGAGTCGAGGTTTATAAAGAAAGTGATCAAATTTGGCTAACAAAAGGTTGGGAAAGGGTTGTGATGAACTACTCAATCAAAGGCGGTGATTTTCTATTGTTCAAGTACGACGAACGCGATTCTATGTTTCAACTCAACATTTTTGACACCACTGGTTTTGAAATCGAGTATGATCAACAAGTAGAACAAATTTCATCGGCATCCGAAGAGATGGTTCTAATTGATGATAATGATCACGACCACATTTCTCTTTCAGGTAAAATAATCTCTTTAACTAATTATAAAATAATTTAACTATGTGTTATACTTTAGTTATATTATTTGAGTATGTTTTTCGTATTACTAGGTTAAACCCGTGCCATTCAGGTCATAATTAAACTTTACAACAAATTTTATAAAGAATGGTGTTAATTTAACAAATTTATCCAAAAAAAATATTTGTAACAAAATAATAGTCTCTAATTAAAGATATTGATGGTCAAAGTTGTGTCTCAACAAATGTGCAAATCCAACCATAACTTATAAAAAAACGGAGGAGTATAATATGATAAAATGATTTTGTTAAGTTGTTCTTATAAACGTTATGCATATTTGTAAGATTTATACAAATTATCCTACCAAAATTATTATTCCTATTTTTAATTAAAATAAATTTTAAGTTGGAGGAAAAAAATTATAATAATATTATGATAATCTTGGATGATGATATATGTCAATACCTTAATTTTAAACTATGTTAGTATATTTTTAACTAAAAGATTTATAGTATATAAAATATATGTTGAAAAAAAAAATAAAAATTAATTGAGTATGATTGGATTAAATGTGTTGTCAAAATGGAAATAAGTATTATTGTAGGTTATAAAATGGAAGTCATCAAAATTTGGCAAAAAAAAAAATAAAGGAAAGAAAAAAAGGCGGGAATTTTTTTATAACATCGTGACAAGTGCCACTTTAGGTTCGCTTTTAGTATAGGTTAATTGATTGATGATTGATTGATTGATGATTATATTGGAGTATGTTTTCGTATTAATTAATTAGTTAATACAGTTTCAATCACCTTTCGTTTAGGATTACAACTATTACATTTACATGCTTAAATCTATTAAATCATTCGAGTATATGTATTTCGTATTAATTAATCAAATACATATAGTTGTAATTTAGTCGTTCTTCATCTGTTGTATGTGTTGCATGAAATTGTATCCTATAATTAAATAAATATAGTTGTAATTAACTATATATAATTTTTAGACAAACATGTTATTAAAAGTGAGATTATTACATATACTAATCAATGTCTTTATTTATTTTTTCTTTTGTATAAAGAGGATGATGATGTAGCAGTCTACGAGCCCATGGATCCGACAGATGTTGAAAGTAGGGTCGAAGCTTACAAAACGAAAAACCCTCATTTCAAAGTTATCATGCAACCTAGCTATGTCTCTAATGTATTTCGATATGTAAGATCATACTTCATCGATTAATTATTTAATTACTCTTCATTTCATTAATTATTTTTCTAAAGGATCTCTAATTAACTTTTTTTTTTTTTCATATGGTGTAGTCATTTCCAATTCGTCACGTGAGAAAACATTTGAGGCTTTTGGAAGTACAACAAATTCAGTTGAAGGCAACGGATCGTGAAGGGAGCTACCCCGTAAGGTTGAATTTGCACAATAAGAATAGTCAAGCAGCCGTCGGCTTTGGATGGAAAAAATTTGTGCTTGAGAATGATCTGCAAGTAGGCGACGGTTGTGTTTTTGAGCTAATCTGCCCTCAAACCAATGCATACAAGGTTACCATCTTTCGTGTACCGCGATTTTAGCTTAACTAGCTAGCTACATCCATATTACTAGCTACTTGGTTTTTAAGTTTATGTATGTGAAAGTTAATTAATTTGAGGATTAATTTCATAAGCAATAATACGAATGGAGTAATATTTTATTAGGTAATTGGTACCGAGTTTATACATAGTAGGTCGAAATAAAATGCATGTTTGTGCAATAAGACATTATTAGTCGCAGGGTCAGCCCGGAGGGGTAGGCCTCGAGTGCGACCGCCTAGGGCCTACATCAGAAAGGGGACAAAAATAAAAAAAAATAAAAATTCAGTTTACATAGCTGTAGAATTTAAACTGTAGTTTTTACTCATTAAAAAATAAGCCACTTTTAAAAAAGATAATTAATGCATTTAGTTAGCAATTAACAATAAATTACTTAGATGTCAATTAGGTGGAGATAACTATGCAATATAACCTCTTCTTCTTCTAATCTTCCGAATTCTATGAGTATCTGCTTCAAAATATTAATCTTTTCAATTACACCTTTTCATATTTATTCAATTACCGAAATATTATGCAAAGTTATTACTCCAGTATTGTGTATGGAGACTTACTATTCAAATAATTTAAGTTATTTTCATTGTCTTATATTTAAAGCTATTGCGTGTAAAAAAATTTGTTTTTGTAAGGGGCCCTTTTCTTACATTATGCGTAGGGCCCATAAATTTCTAGGAGCGGGGCTGATAAGTGGTCACAATGGCTGAACAACCTCACTTTCAATATAATTATTTAAGATACAACTAACATATTTTTGTATGATTTAGCCATTTAGGACAATAGTGTTGTTTATTTCTATCCTATATGCATGGTCTAAAAATAAAATCCATGTTATGCTTTTTTTTTACAAAAATTATTACTATTATTAATTTTTTTCAAATTTCAATAGTACGTAATTACTCAAAAATTAAGTCTACTAATTTTAATTTTAATCCCAATTCAAACTACATGACATGGTTATTTTTAGAAATAAAAAGAGCAATATCAAAATGCATTTAACAACTAACCCAAGACATTACCCGAAGCACAATGATTTTTTTTTTTTATTTTTTTTTATTTTTAATATGATGCTTATGCAAAGCGTGCATTTTTATCGTACTATATGACATAATTGAAGAGTATTTGTGCAGCATATATATACGTCATCAGATATTCAAATCTTCAATATTAAGAGTGCAACAATGCTATACATGCAAAGAGTACAAGCTAGATAAATGTCAAAAATAGGATGTACGTTTGTGTGCATTAATTACCTAACTAATTAAGCCCTTCTACATTATCTACAACTTGTACTTAATGAAGGCAACTATGCCATAATGGATGTACGTAGTAAATGATTTTAGTAAAAATACTAGCTTATGGTCCCGTGCAATGCACGGATTTACCAAAATTTATAAATATTTTTATTGCAACAACTTTTTTATGATTTTTTTTTTATAATAAGTATGAAAAAATTCGATATTCTGCTAATTATATTAAAAGTTATGCATATCTTTTTAAATAATACTATTATTTTGCTTAAATTTTCTATAAGTTGTTACAAAAATGTTTTATTGAATTTGGGACGGAAAGATTGCGTTTAAGTAGGAAATAAAATATTATAGTGTATTAATATTGCCTAATACAATTTGACAAAAAAAGGAAAAAAAAAAAGTGGAGGGTAATTATTTAACCAGATTTTGCCACGTGTCATTTTTTATTCGCCTTTAGTATATAGTTATTGATGATTGATGTCCAATGGATCGTATCGGATAAATAATATATGATCTATCTCCCTTTATAAACTTTTCAATCAGTGTCCAAAAAAAAAACGAAAAATATACGTAGTATAAACTTTTCAATCTCTTAAAAAACATCACCTACTGCTGCCCTGTTTATCCTACACCACACCTTCCGATATCCTACACCACAACACCAACTCTCCCTCGCTCAAGCCACGCACCAAATAGTAGTCTATGATGATTAAGAAAAGGCAAGCGATAGAAGAAAGTAACGCTAGGTGTAATCCAGAGAAACCAAACCACCATTATTTCTACAAGATCATTGTTTCTACCCTTGCTCAAAAATCTAACCTTGTAAGTATTACTTGTATCCATTTCTTTTACGTAGTAATATTCTTATTATTACATTCATTATTAATTTTTGTTAGTACTTGTTACAATTGAATGTATAAAGTGATTTTTGTTAGATTATTGCTGTGTAAATAAAATATACGCATATCATAAATTGCAGTTATGATATGCCATATGCGTATATTTTATGATTTTTTATGCCTTTTGGTTGAATTATTATATGGTGTACTGAAATTGATCTATGTGGTTCACTAGTTTACTTAATATTTTACAAATTTTACAAATTAATTTTACAAATAAAATATTTTACAAATTTTCCTAAAATTAATGACTGTAGATCAAATTTATTTCTGAACAAATTACGTAACATATATGGTCATTGTTTCACCTAAACCTGGGCACGGGCCGGGTTGGCCCGCGTGCCGCCCGGCACGGCCCGCCGTTCGGAGCAGCCCGGCACGGCCCGAAGTCAAGCACGGCACGGCACGAAGTTCGACTTCCGTGCCACGGGCCGTGCCACGGACACGGTGGAGAATTCCCAGGCACGGCCCGGCACGAGCACGGGCATGGCCCGCCGTGCTGGCCCGCCGTGCTTGCCCGCGGGCCAACGGCTAGTTAAACGGCTATAAACGGCTAGTTTTTTGCCAAAAATTCTATAAATACTCACCTCCATTTCATTCTCAAATCACAAAATCACAATCTCTTCTTCTTATCTCTTATATTCTCTAAATCTCTAATAATCCTTATTTTCTTAAATTCTCTAATTATTCTCTTAAATTCTCTAATTATTTTCCTAATATCGGAAAAAATTAAAAAGTTCGTAATCGTAATTAGTGGAGCGTTGAAGCACGGTTGTAAGATCTAAACTAATCTTAAATTTATTATTGTTTTATTGTTATTATTAGAATAATCTTGTTTAATTATTATTGTTGTTAATTGTTATTGTTGTTGTTATAATTGTTGTTATTAATTATTATTATTGTTACAATTGTTGTTATTATTTATTTTTGTTGTTATTGTTATTGTTATAGTTGTTGTTATTAATTATTATTATTGATATTTTTATTGTTAAAATTGTTGTTATTAATTATTATTATTATAGTTAACCACTTTTTATTAAAAAATTAATTGTTAATTATGGCATCGAACAACCCATCATCTAGGTCTAGGGGGAAAGGCCGACTTATCCGTAGTAGTAGTTCTAGGGAACCACCAAATACAACGAGCCCCCAAATTACAAGTCAAACCAATGACCCCATTTACTTCCCCCCGGGCTATGAGCCATATAATACGTCGGGATTTCCAGCACCACCACTAAACCAATTTCCACTACCACCATACCAATTTCCACCTAATTATATCGGTAATCAACAAAACTATTGTTCTAGCCAAGGTAGCCAAGAAAGTACCCGAATTCCCTCCGGTTCTACCCCTTCTACTGCCACTCCCACTAGTCCCCCTACTAACCATCACACACATCATGAATGGTTAACCGAAACTGAGATGCTACTTTTGAAAAACCGAAGGAGTGAGGTATGGCGTTATTTTGTCCTAAGTAAAGATGGTGAACAATGGGCAAAATGTAAAACATGTAATAGTGTATTCACGGCAGTTACCAAAAACGGGACGGGACACTTATCTAGACACATGAAAGCTTGTGCAAAACCAGCTAGTGATCCAACCCAGCCCAAAATTTCCCAATTCCATCCATACGGCTTTACATACAACTATGAGAGGGATAGGGATGAACTAGGAAAAATGATAGTACACGCCGAACAACCTTTTCTTTTCTCGGAAAGTGACGCATTCAACACCTACATTAACAAAGCACTACAACCCCAACATAAAAGAATCTCTAGGAAAACCGTTCGTTCCGCCGCAATGAAAAATTTCCTAGAGTACAAAGTCCGGTTACAAGCCGAATTGAGTAACCTTAACTGTAGAGTATCTTTAACAGCCGATTCTTGGGATAGTGGTTATAAATATCACTATTTATGTGTGACTTGCCATTGGGTAGATGATCAATGGATGTTACAAAAAAGAATAATACATTTCAAAATGCTGGAATACCCACACACCGGCATTAACATTGCTCACCATTTAATGCAAGCAATAGACGAATACAACCTTCGAGATAAAATGATGTCTATGACTTTTGATAATGCAACCTCTATGACATACACAGCTAATCTTATCAAACAAAACTTAACCGATGTACTATTAGACGGTGAAGCTCTTCATACTAGATGTGTTTGCCATGTACTTAACTTATGTGTACAGGATGGAGTTCGGGCAATTGGCCCATACTACAGCAAAATCAGAGATGCTATTATGTCTATTAATAGCTCTAACATGAGATACCAAGAATGGAAGAGTTTTCTAAAACAACAAAAGATAAGGGTAATAAAAATTAGAACCGATTGCCCAACTAGGTGGAATTCCACCTATGACATGTTAACAAAGGCAATTGAGTACAAGGGCCCGTTAACATTATTTTACAACCAAAAATTTCCACAAAATGCTTTGTATGATGATGATTGGAATAACTGTGAAAGATATATGCAATTTTTACAGTTATTATATAACATGACGTATTGTTTTTCTACTGTTTACAATCCTTGTGCTCAAAACTTTCTTTCTAATGCATGCTTACTCGCCCAACTTTTCGCTGATCATCGCGATCAAAGTGATTATGATCAGTATCTTCCAGCAATGGAAAAAAAGTGGCTTAAATATTATAGTCAGATTCCTTTGATTTATATTTTTGCTTCCATATTAGATCCTAGGCAAAAGTATGAAAACACATTTATGTTAGTTGACATTTACTTTCAATGCATGTTTCTTGACGATGATGTAGAAAACTATAAGACTAATGTGAAGGATCAGTTTTTTGCTTTATATAGAGTCTATGAAGCCAAATATGGCACCGTTCCTCGCTCAGGGCCTTCTCAACCATCCAAAAACGTAAGTAAGAAGACCAAACATTTATTTTCACAAGCTACTAACTTGATTTCAAGGTTTTCAGGTGATTCATCAATCAGGAGAACGCAAAGCGACGTCTCGGAGTTGCAGATGTACCTGAGTTACGAATTCACCAAAGGCATGGACGACGATGAGATAAACAGCCTCGACCTCCTTGCATGGTGGAAACAACAAAGCTCGAAGCATCCAACTTTGGCGGCAATGGCACGAGACATTCTTGCTATCCAAGTTTCCTCCGTCGCCTCCGAACGAGCTTTCAGCGCATCCGGAAGGGTTTTAGATGATAGAAGAACAAGTCTAAAACCCGAAACACTAGAAATGTGCGTGTGTTTCAAAGATTGGTTGGATGCGGAAAATCGCTCACAAGACCGTTCTTACGACCACAACGACAACGAAGAAGGAACCTCCGCTTCCGGTTCGGGTTCGGCTAGTTCCCAATCTATGCAACTAGCCGATGACCTTGAAGGCGAAGGCGAAGACGAAGACGAAGACGAAGACGAAGACGAAGACGAAGACGAGCAAGAAGAAGGAGAAGAAGAATAGACAATTATTGTATATTGTACGATTTTAAAAATATCAATTTTATCATTTTCCAATTTTTGTTTAATACCATCATTGTATGATTTTTATCATTGTTATCATTGTACAATTTTCTCAACTCAAGTAATAATAATATAAAGTACGCATTATTCACATCCAAAGTCCAATTTGCCTTTTTTCCCCGTTTTGTTACAATTTGTAAATTCATATTAAAAAAAATAAAATTATACCAATTACTAATAAATCATAAACATTAAATTTTAAAGTAATAGTATAAAGTAAATATATAAATATAAATATTGAATATACAAATTATAAAACATAAATATTCAACTTATAATTATAAAATTCATAACTTAATAACTTATAACTTATAAGTTATAAACTTATAAGTTACCTTATAAAACTTATAATTATAATTTTATAACTTATATACATTATAAACTTATTAATTAATAATGTTGTCATTAAAAAAAAAAAAAAAAAAAAAAAAAAAAATGAAAACTGCACCAGCCCGCAGCCCGGCACGTGGCCGGCACGGCACGAGCCCGCCAGGCACGAGGGCCGTGCCGTGCCGTGGGCTGGCCTGTGAAAATGGCCGGCACGGCACGGCACGAAATCCTAGGCCCGCCGGCACGACCGGCACGGCACGAACCAGCCCGCGGCCCGCCAGGCACGGCCCGCGGCGGCCCGGCACGGCACGGTGCCCAGGATTAGTTTCACTTTCACCCTTCTGGCATGCAGAGGATTCCGGAAAAGTTTGTGAAGAAATATGGAGAACAATTATCTGATGAAATATACCTAAACGTACCAAAATTCTGAACAAACATGGAAAATGGAATTACAAAAAGAAAACAATAATGTTATGTTCTTAGGAAAAGGTTGGGAAGTTTTCATGGAGTTCTACAACTTAGAATATGGTAATTTTTTAGTATTCAGATTTGACGGGGGTTTACTATCACATTTCCATGTCCTTATATTCGATAAGAGTGGTACGGAGATATACTATCCTCGTGTTCGAAGCTTCCGAAGTACTAGTAACGACATACGAGTACATCTTAAGATGGATGTTACATTGAATATGCTTGAGTGAATTTTATACAAGTATTATATGACTAAGCTAATGTTAGTTTTGCTTGCTTGAACGTCTTAATCCCATAAGTGGGGTTGGTTATATGACTAATGTTAGTTAGTGATCCATAATTAGTAGAGCAACAATCAAGTTGATCAGTTGTTAGTGGCATATTATGCTATTTTTTATTAAGTTGTTGAGTTATTATTAGTATATACTAAAGCATAAGAGTATTTATATTGTGAATTTGTTATTTTTTTTTTTAATAGCAAAAATATTTCATTAATTAAAAGTCATACGACATCTACAATAGAGATTCAACGTTAACAAATACATAAGATATTTAATCAAATAGAATTTTCCTTCATAAAAACTACGATCGTCGAGTAGATCTTGCACTGCGGAGCATCTCCCGCTTATATCGCTGAAAATTACAGCCTTGTTGGAGAGACAATCTAACGATCCTTTGTAGCCGTGAGAATGTTTTCCTTCTGATTCATTTGTTCGTATTCGAAAACTTGATAACTTTTTCACCAACGAAATAATTGCACGACAATCCATTAGATCTGCTACCATGGATTCAAAACTAAGAAATTTCTCCCTCGATAAGAGGAGATAAACCTTGTCTTTCAAAGGAGGTCGAAAAACCCTTGTATTTCGAAGGAGATCGGAAACCCTTTCTTTCGAGGGAGAAAAGTTCCTCCCAAAAGGAGAAAACATTATTATAAACCTAAAAAAACAATAAAGAAACAAGGATTGGGGCTTTCCACCGATTAAAATCGATGGAAGCCCCTTCAAAATTCAACAATGGAGGCTAGGGTTTTGGAGAGAGAAAGGATTTTAGAGATTTTTTTTATTCCCTTTTGTGAATTTGTTACTTTATATACGAAGCACTTGTTAGTTTTATCTGCTTCAATATGTTCATTTCAAGTATGTAATGCACTTCAGAGTAATTAAGCATTTTTTTTTTCTTTATTGCGTGATTGCTTCTCTATATTTTTACCAAAAACTAATGGAGTGAATTTTTTTAATTTTTTTTTTGAGGGAAAACTAATGGAGTGATTGGTCAACTTGAATTAGGTTAAAGTCAATAATGGGTTTAGTCAATGCCATCAATTCATCATCACTAACAAGTAACAATTCACTAGGTTAACTAATAATTAACAACAATTATTAGACATGCATGTGATTTAAAGTGAGATTACATACTAATCAATGTCTTTATTTTATTTTTTTCTATGTATATAGAAGATGATGATGTTGCAATCGACGAGTCCATGGAGCAGACAGATGTTGAAAGTAGACTCGAGGCTTACAAAACTAAAAACCCTCATTTCAAAGTTATTATGCAACCTAGCTATGTCTCTAATGGATTTCGATATGTAAGATTATACTTCTTGGATTATTTAATCACAATATATTTCATTATTGTGATTAAATAATAAAACGTCACGTGACCGGCGTTCACCAAGTCATGTGCCGGTCACGTGACGTTTAATTAATCTTTTCTCATTTTTTCCCCTAATTTTCCCCGAGCCTATCCATATAATACCCAAGATGAATTAAATGTCATGTGACCGGCACATGACTTGGTCAACATCGGAAAAATTTAGTCAACTCTCACTTTCCAACCAAGGGTAGTATCTTACAACATTTAGCTTTTATAAGGTAGTTTATTACAACATTTTTTTTATAAAGTAGTTTCTCGCAAAAAAATTGCTTTAAAAGGTAGTTTCTCACAAAATGTCCAAAAAAAAATTGATAATATTATGGATCTCTAATTAATTAATTTTCATATGGTGTAGTCATTTCCAATTCGTCATGTGAGAAGACATTTGAAGCCTTTGGAAGTTCAACAAATTCAATTGAAGGCAACAGATCATGAGAAGAGCTACCCCGTTAGGTTAAATTTGTACAATCACAACAGTCAAGTTTTCGCCGGATTTGGATGGAAAAAATTTGTGCTTAACTATAATTTGCAAGCAGGCGACGGTTGTGTTTTTGAGCTGGTCTGCCCTCAGTCCAATGCTTACAAGGTTACCATCTTTCGTGTTGCGGCAACTACATGATCTATCCAAGTACATACTCTAGCTACTTTCATTATTAAGTTTATGTTAAAAGTTATTGTACTCCCACTGTCTCTAAATTACATTCCTGTTTTCCTCTATTATGTGAGGAATAACTGCTATAAATAAGAATGTAATTTAGGGACGGAGGGAGTAGTTTATTTGGATGCGGTGAATTTAGAGTATGATTTTGTAACACCTTAATTTCGGTTGTACTTATTACTATTGACATGATCGGTATATGTAAGATTGTATGAAAATATGATGAATTAATTCCGCAGGTATTATTTATTATTAGCTTCCCTAGAAATATTAAACCGTAGGATTCGTATTTTGTACTCCGTATGGAAAATACAGTACGGAGTATAAGAGAACTTGGACTTGTATTAATGGCTCCCTAGAAATATTAAACCGAGTAAATATGTAGAATTATGTAAAAACATACGGCTTGACCTTTCATTCATTGGGGCAAAACATATATATACAATACTAATTCCTAGAATTACCTTAATTAGGTTTCTAGTAATTAGGAAACAATATAAAAGATAATATCAAATATTCCCCTAAAAATATCCTACCAAAATATATCCTCAATACCCCCCCTCAAGTTGGAGCACTAGGATCATAAGTGCCCAACTTGGATAAAACATGATCAAACTGTGACTTCCCAAGGGCCTTCGTGAAAATGTCGGCCAATTGAGTAGTCGTAGGAACATAAGAAGGAGAAATCAAGCCTTCAATAATCGCATCTCGAACAAAGTGACAGTCGACTTCAATATGCTTGGTCCTTTCATGAAAGACCGGATTCTTTGCGATGTGCAAAGCAGATTGACTGTCACAAAATAACTTGATTGCCTTAGGATGATGCACACCCAAACTCAACAACAACCCCTTAAGCCACTTGAGCTCACAAGTGGCGGCAAACATAGCCCTATACTCGGCATCACAAGAAGACGTCGCCGCATTTGGTTGATTTTTAGTCTTCCAAGAGATAGGCGAATGACCTAAAAACACCAACCAACCAGTGACAGAGCGACGAGTTAGTGGACAAGCCGCCCAATCCGAATCGCATTAACTTTCCAAGGTGAGATCACTAGTAGCACTCTACAAGATACCCTGACCCGGAGTACCTTTCAAATAACGAACTACACGAAGAGCTGCTTCCCAATGCTCAATGCGCGACTCTTGCATAAACTGAGACAAGATATAAACGGAGTATGCTAGATCCGGTCTAGTTACCCCTAGGTAAATCAAACGACCAACCAACCTGTGATACACTTCCGGATCCGCGAGAAGCTCACATGTGGCACGACCAAGCTTGTGGTTTTGCTCCATGGGAAAACCACTCGGCTTTGCCCCCAACAAACCTGCTTCAGAAATAATATCCAACGTATATTTTCGTTGACATAAAAATAAACCTAAAGCACTACGAGCAACTTCGATGCCCAAAAAATATTTCAAAGATCCTAGATCCTTCATCTTGAAACAATCACTGAGATAAGCCTTGAAACCAACAAGTGCAGCGGAATGATTGCCAGAAATGATAGGATCCTCAACATATACTAAGACATTAATCTGAATTGTGCCTTTAGTATACGTGAAAAGAGAATAATCAGAGTAAGATTGAATGAAGCCGTACCCTTTCAAAGCCGTAGTTAGCTTTGCAAACCAACACCTCAGTGCTTGCTTCAACCCATACAAGGACTTCCTCAAGCGACACACTAAAGTAGGATCTTCACCTTCAAACCCGAGAGGTAATTTCATGTATACCTCCTCAGCAAGATCACCATGCAAGAAAGCATTATGCACGTCCATTTGATGAATTTCCCAGTTCTTTGATGCTGCAATTGCAAGAAAAGTCCGAACTGTTGTCATCTTTGCAAATGGAGCAAATGTTTCACTATAATCTATGTCTTCCTGCTGATGATTACCAAAAACAACCAAACGAGATTTAAGTCGTTCAATATCACCATTAGACAAATATTTTGTCTTAAACACCCATTGACTCCCTAGAGCACGTTTACCAGGGGGAAGGTGCTCTAAGGTCCAAGTATCGTTATCTTCCAAGGCTCTTATTTCTTCTTGCATAGATTTTCTCCAACCTTCATGTTTCATGGCCTCTCTAAAAGATTTCGGATCATGACCACCAACAATAGCTGCCAGAAACTTACAATAATTCGCAGAAAACTTGTCACAATTTATATAATGTGCTAAAGGATAAGGAGTACCTAAAGGAGTATTAGAGGACGGAGAGGAGAGAAACGGATTGTTAGCAAAAACTAAGTGAGTGACATAATCCCGACGATGAACATTGGGAAATATTTCCCAAAAACCTCGCCCCAAGGGCTGCTAATTTGCTGTCCCTGCCCCGCCATTTTCATCATGGCCATGTGGCTGTTGCACGCTAGCAGAGCTGCCAGCGTTCTCCCCCGCGGCCAGGGGCTGCTGCACGCTAGCAGAGCTGCCAGCAGGCTCCTTCGCGGCCAGGGGCTGCTGAGCGGCTGTCCTCGCGCCCGCGGACCCCTCCTGCGGGTGGGCAGTAGCCATGCCCTCAACACCACCATTATCATGCACCTCTTCACTATTACCCTCCTCATATTCCACAAAATCATCATGCACATCATAATGCAAATCAAAACCATGAGACTCAATGTTAACGTCTTCCGGAGTAGAAAACGGAAACACACCTTCAACAAATTTAACATCCCGAGACACAAAAAAAAACTTTGGTATCAAGATCATACAAACGCCACCCCTTCTTCCCGAAAGGATAGCCCACAAAAACACACTTGCGACTCTGACTAGCAAACTTATCACCATTTGTTTTCTAATTATGAGCAAAACATGAACACCCAAAAGTACGAATGGCATTGAACATAGGAGGTTTACTAAAGAGGACTTCAAAGGGAGTTTTATTTTGTAGCAATGGAGTAGGTGTCCGGTTAATCAAGTGAGCCGCGGTGAGAATGCACTCACCCCAAAAATAAATTGGCAATTTGGCTTGAAATCTCAAGGCCCTCCCAACTGACAAAATGTGTTTACGTTTTATCTCAACCCTCCCGTTTTGTTGTGGAGTGCCTACACAAGAGGTTTGAAAAAGAATACTAGTAGTTGCAAAAAAAATCATGCAAACAATTAAACTCCGTACCATTATCACTTTGCGCAATTTTAATGGTTTGGGAAAATTGTCGTTCTACCATAGCTACAAAAATCAAGAAAGTACGAAAAACCTCTGTTTTATCATTCAACAAATAAACCCAAACTGCTCTAGAGTAGTCATCAACAATAGTAAAAAAAATAACGAGCTCCGCACGACGCAACCTGTTGATACGGGCCCCACAAATCACAATGTACTTTCTCAAATATTCTAGATGATTTATTATCACTCAAAGGAAAACAACTTCTAGGATGCTTAGCACGCATACATACTTCACATCCTTTATCTAAACAAGCTTTATTACTAGCTGTAGGAAGCAACTTAACTACTTTCTCGGAAGGATGACCCAGACGACGATGCCACAACTCCAAATCTGAATTTGCAGCAAGAGCACTCACATGATGAACCGAATCCGATTTGCTAAAATAATACAATCCGTCCCTCCTAGTTCCCGTTCCAATCAGCTCCTTCGTTTGGTCCTGTATAGCACACATATAAGAGTTAAATTGGACTGTACAATTACGATCATCATTAAGTTGCGAAACAGAAATCAAGTTACAACTCAAGTTAGGAACATAGAGAAATCCTGTGAGAGTAATCACATCCAATAAACAAACAGAGCCAATAAGAGATGCCGACACCGTTTCTCCATTAGGCAAACCAACCGGACATTCGAATCTTTTTGTGTCAAAAAGCCAAGATTTTTCTCCGGTAACGTGATGAGTAGCTCCGGTGTCAATAATCCAAGAAGTATCATCAAACTTACCACTTAACCGATTATCGGAAATTGTTGCATTACCCATCAATCCCGTAATCGCCTTCCACTGTTCACTTGTGAATAAACGACCCGAGGCAAAAGTGCTCTAATCATCCGAGCCTGAACCACCACCAGTGACCACGTTGGCCTTCACCGGACCTCCACGACCACCACCAGCAGCACCCTCCGGCCACCCATACTTGTCATAGCAACGAGTTTCTTCATGTCCTCGCTTTTTACAGAAATTGCAAATTTTATCGGACCAGCACTTCGCAGTTTCATGTCCCATCTTCTTACATTTATCACACACTAACAATTGACGATTAGTACCTCCACCACGGCCCCTTCCAGCACCGGTTCGTACAGCAAAACCGAGAGCAGGAGGGTCCTCTTTCTGCCGGGAAAAACCACGAACCTTCTCTTCTTGAGACACCTGCTGAAACGCCCTAAGCAAGGAGGGCAGAGGATCCTGAGAAAGCAAATTAGACCTGATAGACGCATAATACTCGGAATATAATCCGAGCAAAAACTGCTGGAGACGGTCCCCATCACGCCGATCAGCATGCTGACGGCGTGCACTTTCCACAAATTGCAAGCAATTAAATTAAAGGTTCTAATTTATCAAGAGCATCCCACAATACTGCCAGTTTGCTATAATACACAACAATTGTCATATTCTTTGTTTGTTCACAACGATTAATATCCGATTTTATTTGTTGTATTCTTGGACCATTAACTAAACAAAACCGTTCATGTAAATCATCCCACAATTTCTTGGCATCATCATATTGAGAAAGCATTGATTTTACCTCGGGGTCGATTGTGTTCATGAGCCAAGAAACGAGCATACAATGAATTGTAACCCAATTATCCTTCGTACATGGCGGTGAGAAGGTAGTGATGCTGCCATCGAGAAATCCGAACTTCCTTCGAGAAGACAAGGAAATTCGCACAGCATGAGACCACTCATGAAAATTATTAAGCTTGAGACGTTGTGAGGTAATGTAATCCCCTAGCCGATCTTGCGGTCCAAGGTAAAACGGTGAATTCGATTCAATTTTTGGTGGAGGCGGTGGGGGTTGTTCATATCCTCCAGCCATTGTCAATTACACAGGGAAAGAAAGCAGAGAAAAAAAATTTAACGAGGCTCTGATACCATGTAGAATTATGTAAACATACGGCTTGACCTTTCATTCATTGGGGCAAAACATATATATACAATACTAATTCCTAGAATTACCTTAATTAGGTTTCTAGTAATTAGGAAACAATATAAGATAATATCAAATATTCCCCTAAAAATATCCTACCAAAATATATCCTCAATAAAATAACATTGACAATTAATAATTTGGGAGTATTTATTCAGTGTTAAGTTTATACGGAGTACAATGTAATAGGAGTAAGTCAAAAATGTGTTTGCAAATAATGGTGACAACGGCCCAACTAGGCAAATACACACGTTAACTTCAAACTCAAGAGTCAATTAAGAGAGAACATATAATAATTTAGGACATTTGAATGATTTGATTTGATATAGTAATGGTACTCCGTCTATTGGAAAATTTAATAAGGCCGAGTGTATAATAAATATTGTACATTAGGTGTTAAGTTCTCCTTGATTAAATAAAACTTACGGAGTATGTATTTTGATATTGATAATGTTGCTTTCAATCTTATAATTTACCTCATAAACACTCTTAATGTGTAGAGGTAATCATATTACCCGTACCTGTTATAAAACAGATTTATTTAAAAATAAATAAATAAATAAATAAAATAAAAATAAAACATCAGAAGGTTCAGGTATCTATTGATATAGGAACGAAGGAATAGCAGTAAGAAAACTAAAGTTTTCAAAATCATAGTGTGCAACATAAAAAGTTAATCTATATAACTGAATAATAAGGTTAAAATTATAATTTCCCAAAATTAATTTAGGTGAAAGTTACTATAAATTGGATAATATGTGGTAAAATTACATACAAATAAAACCCTATTCACTCATAGAGAATTTGTAGATCGAAAAATTTATCACAAATTATTACAAGACACCTATGCTATTACGCTAATTTAAGGATAGTAACCAAAGATCTAAGTATTACATTCTTTCTCTGTTTCATTAAAATGCTACGTATTACTGCTTAAGCCGAATAAGTGTAAACTTTGTTGTGGGTCATGACAATGTACAGAGTACACTACGAGTATATACACATAATAAAACTGTAAGTAATAGGCTTGAATAATCAAATCTAGCTAGTTTAGCATTAATTATGATGAACTACTAGCTAATATTACTAGTACTAGTATTAAATTTTCCTACTGGCTTATCTTTAAATAAGTAGTACGTACCATTACAATATATTACTATAGTTATCTCTTTGTAGTTGTACTTAGCTCTCAAGACATACTTGAATTGAGTAGCCATATATGGCTAGTAAAATGAAGGTACTTGAAGCAATTAAGTTTCAAACATTTAAATCATATTTCTACAAAATCATGGTGGCTCCTTCAACTCAAAACCACAAGCTAGTAAGTTACTTTAATTTGTTTTGTCCTTGTACATACGTACATAATTTAATATTTTGTTCGGAATCAATTAATACGTGAATAATGTATTTATTTATTTTTAATACAAACGTTTATAATGTAATTTTACAGAGAATTCCCGAAACATACGTGAAGAAATATGAAGAGCAATTAGTAAATAATGATTATGTGAAGCTTAGAGTGGCCGATGGTAGAGTTTGGAGAGTGGAGTTATTTAAAGAAAGTGGAGAAGTGTGGCTTACCAAAGGTTGTGAAGTGTTATTCTCTAAAATATGGGGGGGCAGACCCCATTGATATCTTATATCAACCAAATGATGTTGATATAATGGCATTTCTTGTAATATTCTTAATTCCACATGAACACTAGTGGATTGCTGAGTCACATCCCGTTATTGCAATATTTTATTCAAAAGTGAGAACGGTAATCAAATTAACAGTTGTAAGTTGGACCTGTTCTTGCCGCTGTAGTTGCTGTGAAATTTGTGCAGCGTAGGAGATTGTCTGTGAATTTTCGATAGCGAAGCCTTATGTTTGGATCCTGTAACCCGAAATTCAGGTAAGTAATTTAAACTGAGTTTGAGTGTCCTTTATTAGTTAATTTTTGTTTATTTAGTTCAATGCTTCATTGTTTTGATTGGTTAAATTAGGGAAGAATCGAGAAATTATGGTTGTCCTTGAATTAATTTATTTCCTTGAAAACCTTAGTCGGGTATATCAAGTAATTGCGGACCTGTCTTACTTTGGTTTGAATTATAAAAATTTATCCACATTCTATTTTTTGTTCTATGTTGTTTAATGGAATCTTAATGTTGTATGTGAATTGTATGTGGTGAGAATTTTGAGTTAAGTGTATGTAAAATCTCTGTACATTTTGGTAATTTGGTCATTTTGGGTCAGAATTTTGATGTTTTTCGATTACCCTTGTGATTTTTGTTGTTTTTCCACATTGCAGACCATAGTTGTAGTGTTTAGTTCTGTCATTGAACTATGGATGACGATGATGTTATCATGAATGAGCTCAGTCTCTGTGATAAAAGTTTGGATGAGATTGTTGTTAATGAAACTCCTCCTCAGTCCCTTGTTCATGAAATGTTGTCCTTAAATTGCATAGCACCTTATGTTCAACTACCTAATTCTACCAAGGATCCCCTTACCATGACATCACCTATCAAGACTTTGGAGACGGTGGAGACCATTGTTTCTACAAACAAGGTCTCTGTGTATTCCACTGTTGAACCACCTAGAGAAGGGATGGTGTTCAAGCGTTGGGAGGATGTTGAAATGTACTACAAACAGTATGCCGAACAACATGGGTTTGGAGTCTGTAGACAAGCAGGTTCATTTAGACAAGCAGGTTCATTTTCAAGGCAAAAGGAAAGGAGGTCTGTAACGTGGCGATGTGAGTGCTGGGGGTACCCTGATATGAGGGCAAGGTGGGAAGCGAAGAAAAGGGCTAAAGCAATGGATATATCTGGTACGGTGGCCACAAAGAATGGTGAAATTGGTGAGAATGAGTTAAGTCGCTGCAAAAGGACATCAAAGAAGTGTGAATGTTTGGCTAAAGTTTATGCAAGTGTGAATTCTGATGGTGATTGGGTTTTGAGGACTGTGGAACTAAAGCATGTACATGACTTAGACCCTAGTGGCTCAAAATTGGTGAAAGAATATCGCATGAAAAATTACACATCAACTGTAAAGAAGAAGCTAATGGATTACTATGATGAAGGTGTGCCTGTGACTCAAATCCATGGTTGCATGGCTGCCGAGAGAGGTGGTGATGATGATCTCCCTACTGTGAAAGACCTTCAACACGAGGTTTATAAGAAGAGGAGATTAAAGATGGAAGACGGTGATGCGGTAGCCATGATGTCTTACTTTGATCGAATGCAAGCTGATAATCAGATGTTCTTCCATGCACATCGGCTGGACGAAGAAGGCCGTCTTAAGGATGTTGTATGGGTAGATGCTCGTAGCCGGGTGGCTTATCAGGAGTTTGGTGATGTTGTGTGCTTCGATGCAACATATTTAACTGATGAATATGAGCTGCCCTTTGCAAATTTTGTAGGGGTAAATCACCATGGACAATCAATACTCTTGGGGTGTGCCCTTGTATCCCATGAAACCACAGAAACCTACTTTCGGGTATTCGAACAATGGCTGTCTTGTATGGGGAACACACCTCCCGGTGCCATCCTGACCGACCAAGCCGCTGCATTGAGGAAGCCTATTGCTCAACTGATGCCTACAGCGCGACACCGGTGGTGCATCTGGCATATTATGAGGAAAATTCCGGATAAGTTGGGCAAATGCAAACAGTAAGTTTCAGAGCCTAATTCCTTAAGCACTGGTGGTCAGTTATAGTTTTTTGTGGTAGCTTCGAGCAGTTTTAATGACATGCAAAAGTCTTCCTGGTACCTCTATTATAATGTTATGTTGTCGTTTGATTTTGAAATGCTGTTTGTGAGTGTATTATTTGCCCAATTATGTATTTTTTGTTTATTGTGCTGTGAACTATCTGTGAAATTATGGTGTCCATTCTTGCCCTGTGAAATGTTGCATCTTATTCCTATATGCAATGATTTGTTAAATCTAATTCCTTTTATTTAATGATTTGTTGTTATATTAATTGATTTGCTGAACTCTGAATTGAATATGATGGTCTGCCTAGATGATTTTGTGTTGTAACAGTTGATAATTTTCTATACCCTTTGTATGGTCTGAGTTGAAACATAAGCTGTCCTTCCTTCAGAGATTCTGTGACAGACTTGTATTTACTCTGTATCTCTGCCCGGATTCTTGCCTAAGGTCTGGGTTGTTGAGCTATTGCTGTTATACTTGTTTTTAGTGTCGTTATTTGTTTGTGTTAATAGTTATGCTGAATTCAAGAGCCCTTTGAAGACCTTGGTGTATGAGAGCTTCACTGTTGAGGAGTTTGAGAGCCGATGGAAAGCGTTGCTGAAAAAGTATGAGTTAGAGGAAAATGATTGGTTATGTGATCTCTTTGATGAAAGACACATGTGGGTCCCAGCCTTTATGAAGGAGTACTTTTGGGCGGGAATGAAGACCACACAACGTGTTGAAAGTATCAATAGTTTCTTTGATGGCTTTGTAGATAGACAGACAAAGTTGCACGAATTCCCGGAGAAATACACTAGGGCAATGAAGAAGCGTGTGAAAACTGAAGTGGCTGCTGATGCTAGGTGCAGTAAATATGTCCGGAGGCTAGTTAGTGGGTTTAGAGTGGAGAAGTTTTTTCAGAAGATCTACACCGACACTAAATTTCAGGAAGTACAGAAAGAGTGTGCTAGAATGGGGTACTGCTATCCCAAGGTAAGGCGTGAGCTTGGAAATGACATGACTGAGTATGTACTTGAAGACCGGGTCTGGATTATACCGGAAGGCAAGAGTGAGGACATTATAACCGACAGGAGAATGTGGGTTCGTGTAGTTTTCGATCACTCCACGAAAGAATTTTGTTGTGATTGCCGGAAATTTGAAACTTTTGGGATCTTGTGCAAACATGCCATACGAGTATTTGAGGACAATTTGGTTTTGGACATTCCAAAAAAATACATTCTGGATAGGTGAAGGAAGGACGTACCACGAAAACATACTCGAGTCAAAGTGGCTTACCATGATCCCGGTGAAACACCTCAAGTTCGGTATTATCGTCGTATGATGACCGAATTTGAGGGAATATGTGATGAGGCATCGGCTGTGGATGATATTGAAACAGTGGACCTAGTAATTTCCAGTCTACAGCAGCTCCGGTTCAACGTCAAAGAGAGCCGCCAAAAATTTGTTACGAAACAAGCGGCACTACCAACATTGCCTGCAACACACGTCCCTCCCTCTGAGATTGGTTCCAACAGTTTGCCTAATCAGGTTCAAACACCTTGCTCAGTTGCAAAGGATTCTTCGAAAGCTACAGCTGTGAAGGATCCTCTACAGCGCAGGAAGCCTCGTGGCAGGCCCAAAACCACTAGGTACAAGAGCGCAGCGGAGAAGGGGTACAAGACCCAGAAATCAGCTACCAATTCAAACAAAACGCAACAGGTTACTTCCCCATCTGGAACCCTGATGTTATAAATTAAGTTTACTGCTGTTGTCTCTGTATTTAATCTTTCTAATTCATTTCCTTTTTGGATAGGGTAAAAGAAAGAGGACAACTAGACCTCTCAGTGCGGTGTATGAGGACTGCATCGACCCTGATATGCTGACTGATTCCGGGGAGGAATCGGATCATTCTTTTGAATTTTAACAGGTGGTACAGCATTGTGGTAGTGGCAGCACCTGAACTATGATAAGCTTGCGAGGCTTGTGGTCTACCCTTCACACGCTTTTCATTGAATGAGCATTTCTGTATTCGAGGATATACTGGTGTTGTGCCATACTTTGCTGACTGAATGGCAATGCGTTTAAAAATCCTAGGAAAACACTGTCAACAACACTGTTTGGAATTTGCTTTCGGTGATTAAATATGTACTAAACTTCCTTCTAAAAGTATATGTGGCAATGGTGGTTTTTCATAGTCCTTTCTTTGAATCTGGATGCAATGAGAAACATCATGATTTAACTACAGAAAAATGTTGATGCCTGAATTCACTTTTTACATACTGAAATTATAAGGTGTCCAGGTATTCTACATAATCAATTGCAATTTAAAATTACAATACTAAGTTTGTGCGTCGTAAAGTAATTAGTAATGTTTGCTAGTAATTTTTTCGGATTTGCTATCAAATAATTTAATGCACAAGAGTGATAAAGTAATATTCTTCGAAGCCTACATTTTCTTTGTAACCCAATATTCAAAGACGCAATAACCAAAAGCCCAACATATGCAAACTGGACTGGGCTTTTGGTTGTAACCGTGAATACTGAACTGGTTCGACTATTATATCATCATATTGGACTGTAAATCTTATGTAATTGTTGGTCTTATTTTGTCCAATTTTAAAGTTGTTACCTATTAGATTAGAATTTCAATAGGACCTATTACTAGTCTTGTAGCTCCCAATTGTTTGCTAAACATCTATAATTATGAAGAGAGAGTTGATCTGATGTTCATTTTTTTATGTGTAACTTCAACAAATTTGTTTTTGGAGTCATGAACAACATAATGGTCTATGATGTACATTACTTGTGTGTTAGATAATGGCTAATAACACTTCTTACCACCAAACTTGGCCCATTCATTAACTTCATTACTAGAACAACAATTCTTGAACACATATAATACATCATCAAACCACTCCACCATCTAACTCTAGCTTAACAACACATAGAGATACAATAAGTTACAACACATTTGAGTAATTAACTTAAACTCATAATAATCCTGAGAATCAGATACTGAGCCACCAAAAGACATAACCATTACATCACTTATCACACAAAAGGTGTCGGTGGTGAAGGCCAATTGATCGGAGCAAACCTAGCGGACGAAGTTAGGGAGCACCATAACTTTGTCACCATTTTTTATACCGGCGACGCGAATAGTTTGCTCGGTTGAGAGAACATTGTCTTCGTGCATGACCAGCAAGGTGGTTGGGTCTGCATTAATCTCATGAGCCAAAATGTGGAACAAACGACACATTGGGGTGTCCAATTTGGAGCTTTTTCTTGAAACGGTGGCCGGTGTTCCTGATGTAGAAGCGCTTGATTCGGGTGTTGGTGTTGATCAGGCCCGCCTATCATTATATTAAAACAAGAAATTAATTAACATTCGGCATTAGACTAAGCAACAATATTCACCCCTAAACCATTCTTGAATACCAACACAAAACGAAATACCAACACTATTAATCCAGTAGTTACTATTTGTGGAAAAAATGTATATTACATGTAAATCAAGCATTTCAACTCCAATAAACTTTTAAAAAATTTAAATAAACTAAAAACAAAGTAAATCTAGGAATGAGAAGTTAATTTGCGTACAATTGCCTTTGCTAAATTAAATTAAGTCCTTTAATAACATTTTCCTACTTAAACTCGTAATGAAACAAAACAAGGACAATTGCCAGTTTACTAAGAAAACAAATTACCAATTAATATTTACGAACTAAAAATACTCCTTTCTGTGCTAGGCAAAATGACATTATCAGGCAAAAATTTTAGGTAAAGAAAATTACCAAACCAACGACAGTCAACAGATCACCACTTTCAACCCCCACCTCAATAGGCTTCGTCCACTCCGGGATGTGGTTGTGATTTTTGTAGACCCTAATCCTTGAGGTCTTTACGTCGATTTTCCAACATAGTCTTTGAATATTGCCTCAATGGCTGTTTACCGGCACACCGTAGGTGGTAGTCCCCACATTTTGTTCTATAAGCCACCACAAGCAACCCCGAACATAAGACCAGAATTAGAGGAGAACGCTTATCAATATTTCTGGCAATCAAATGCTCGAACTTATCCGGCCACTAGAGAGTCACTTTACCGCATTTATCTAAACCCGGATCAACCCCTCCAAGAAGGATTGAGCCTTAGGATGGTTCCTACTGATCGTCGTGGAAGTTGTCAGCCCGGCCATTTGCCGAGCGTATACGACGCTGCATCTTTGTCCACTGAATTTGAGTGCCTAATTAATAACCACATTGAAGTAGCCACTGTCGATGAGAACAAACCCCTTTTCCCAGGATACCTGTTGCATCTGATCGATCCCTACCCCACAATAGATCTAATTCCCAGGACATCCGTGTTTCAATGGCCTGCTTCTCAGACGCTGTCCAAGTCATTTACCTCCCTACTGCATTCCGTGTTGTTGTTAATGTCATGGTTTTTTCACAGTTTGGTAATGACTCACCCAAGTACCACTGTGCTGTAACACAGACTTTCAACAACGCCCCCCTCCCCACACTCCCCTGTGTTCCACCAAACAGCTCTATAGTTTGCTTTAATGCTAGGGACGTTGCCCGTCCTTCCTTTAAGCCCAATTTCCAAGCCATCTACGACCGCCACATGCCTGAGATTGTAGTTCTGTTTGAGGTTAGGAACACCGTCAGTAATCTTAGCGAGGTAATTCACACCCTACCTGGGAATTATATGTTTGTTCCCTCTATTCTCCGGTCACACGCTAGTGGTGCTGCGATCCTGTGGAGGGCGGATGCAGTTAGAGGAGTGTCAAGAAATCAGCAAGCCGCTCTCAATGTTTACTTGATGTTAACATTACGGTGAGATTATGTCATAATAAACATTTTAGATTCGTAAAATAAGACTAATACTGTAGACACCCATTTGTGTCTCCCCAAAACCAAACCCAGTGATGTGTGTCTTTCACGTCGAATCATAATCGAATGAAACGAAAGTGTGGAAAGGTCTAGTGTTGCGGGAAGTTTTATTTTTTTTCTCTTCTCCCTGATTTTGAAAACTTTATTTTAAAAAAAACAGCCAATCCAGTTTGGTTGGTCCATGATATGGGTTCAATAGGGGTGTAGTTGGATGGGGCTTGCAAAGGCATTTCCAACGATATATTATAAGCCCAATTCCGATGAATATTGAGTAATTTATAGCCAATTTACTAAACTGGGCTCGGTATGAGTTTTAAGTACGGCTCAATGATCTAGGGGAGGGCCTAATATGATTTATCATTCCTAATGCAATTAGGAATGGTTTTAGTCTTCTAGAGTATTCTAGAAGGTTCTTTTCATTCCTAATTCAATTAGGACTCTTCAGAGTTTTAATCAAGATCAAATAGCATTTTCGGCTGAAATTATATTATTTTATCTTCCACTACGGTAAGTTTATCAGATTTTCGAAAACGCGTGGAAAACCACTTTGGCGTCCAACCCCAGGCCTTGGCGCCTGGAATCAGGATTGGCGCCAGACGCCAGCCATTGGCGCCTGACGCTAGCCACTGGTCCTGGCGCCAATTAGCCAGGGCTGGCGCCAATGTGTTTTTGCGGTCTTCAGACTCTGTTTTGATAAATTATCTTTTTGGCTGATTTTCTCTATAAATATCGTATTAAAAACTCCGTTTTCAATGATCATCTACAATCGTCATTCGCCAATTTTCCTGATTTTTCATCAACTCTCTTTATTCACCAACTTCCTTCATCATCTACAATCATCATTCGCCAATTTTCCTGATTTTTCACCAACTCTCATCAAGATTTTCTTGATTACTCTCTCTCTCTCTCTTTTTCTAAACTAGCCTTTTCTCAAATAAATAATTCCGCATTCGCAAGATCTAGAAACACCTAGCCATATTCGAAGTTGCCTTCGCCCTAGACGTGAAAGGTTTTAATTTCTGAGGGTTTGGTCCCAAATCTCTCTTTCAATTATTTAGTTTAATTGTTTTTATTATTATTTTCCTTGAAATTACTAACGTGTGTATTTTGTTATTAGAAAGAGGTACGAGGCGTCCAAGTAAGTACTTTAATGGTTTAATTGATATAATGATGTAGATATCATGTTTACATTGTTATTATGATATTCCTAGTATCATGTCTAGGGTATTTTTAATATTAAATATGATTGTTATGATGCTTCCTATTCTCTTCCTAATATTTATGATTGTTAGTATCATGTTAGGGCTAAAGATTTGATTTTTATTGTTTAGTGACATGCTAGGGTTTGTTATTAATCTTGTTAGTATCATGCCTAGGATCTTGCTATGCTTTAACATGATTATTATTGATCATGATTATGATTATGATTGATATTATTATTATTAATGATGTTGTTATTTATTATGTTGCTTGATATGTATTATATTTTATATTGTTATTGCTTGATCACCTTTTATTGCATGTTTAAAGGGAATTGGTACTTGCAATCACGCTTAATAAGATAATTAATAATCTTGGTAGGTTAATTGTGATTATAATTCAAGTGATCGTCAATAATAGATTTGTTTGTGCGTTAATATTCAACCAACATAGATTAAACAGGTTTAGGGTTAATCCTATTGATTGTATGTTAGTCAGAAAGCGCACATGAATACGAGCAGAATAAAGTAGAGGCCTATTATTAGGGCAGGTTCAATCTCTTTTAGGTTGGATTTGTACCATCATCCCCGAACCCTTATTTGGTTCATGACCTTATGGATTTGACGATCTCTTGGATCGTTAAGGGGTGTAACCTTCACCTCGTGAACGGTTTACAAGTTCCTTAAAAACTTGTTGGCGACTCTTTTGCTCTATCTTCTTCCCTTTTGAACGCCACCGTACTTTAGTGTCTGATCACAGTAGGGTTCAAGCTAGTGGGATTTTAAAGGCTTGAAACTATTCCCCACAGTTTTTGGCGACTCCACTGGGGAGGATTTCTATTTTAATTCCTGAATTTGTTTCGGCAATGATTTAGAATGAGTTGATGAGACTCGAAAAGTTCTAAGTATTTCATGTGCGTAATTTTGATTAACATTATTGGCATATGCATAAAAAGGTTCTCATTGGAAAGACCATCCGTAATGAGTCAAAAACATAGGATTTTACACGTAGGAAATTTGAGAAATGTCTTTCACAACTAGGACTGAAATAACACCGCGCGAAACTGGATGATTTTATTGAGCACAGAAAGCTGCTGAGGCATGTAGGAAGTAGCGTCAGGGGCCAGAGCTTGGCGCCAAACTTTTAGCCGTAGCGC